TTTACTCGATTACTATTAATAACTTTTCGCTATTTGCACCCCATTTATAGTGAGAAAGTGCCTTAATTATATTTAAAGATTTGAGGCATTTAGATTTGACATACTGTATATGAGGTAAGAAACTGAACTTATGATCAAAAGCTAAACCTAAGAATTTTATTTTGTTTTCAAATTTTATGGGTGTTTTGTCTATTGTTAATTTTGGAAACTTTGTTTTTCTTTTTTTTGTGAATAATATAGCTACAGTTTTTGATTCAGAAAATAAAATTCCGTTTTCTATTGACCATGTACTAATTTTATTTAATAATTTATTTAATGTACTTTCAATATTTTCTATATTTTTGTTTTTATATGCAATCATGAAGTCGTCTACGTAAAGACATTTTAGCATGTCAGGTGGAATTATATTGCATAGACCGTTGATTTTCATGCAGAAAAGTGTTACAGACAGGATACTACCTTGTGCTATACCTGTTTCCATTTTTTTATATGTAGAAAAAGTTTGATTGTATTTTATTTTAAATTCTCTATTATTTATTAAGTTGGAAATGAATATTGGAAGTCGGCCTTTCAAGCCAGCATTATGCAGATCTCTGAGTATTCCATGTCTCCACGATTTATCATAGGCCTTTTCGACATCAAAGAAAATCGCTACCACCTGTTCATTACTTATGAGAGCTTCCCTTACAAATGTCTCCAAAGAAACCAAATGATCTAAAGTAGAGCGGTTCTTTTGACCTCCGCATTGGAAAGGCGATATTAATTTATTTAGTTCTAAAAAGTATGTTAACCTATTATTTGCAATTTTTTCAAAAGTTTTGCATATGGTGTTTGTTAAAGATATTGGTCTATAGTTGGATGGATCTTCTTTTGACTTACCGGGTTTTAATATTGGTATTATAATGGCTTTACCCCATTCTTCTGGTACAGAATAATTGCACCACGTGAAGTTAAAAGCGTCTAGGAGTGATATCAAAGATATTTGGGGTAAATTTTTTGGCATATTATATGTGATCTGATCGGGATCAGGTGCTGAATTAGTATTACTTGTTTCTATAGCGTTTTTTAATTCTGTGAGCGTTATATTTTCGTTATAATACTCTGTGTTATCAGAAGTAAAGTCTAGCGTGGTTTTTTCTTCTAATTTCATTACATTTGAAAATGTTTTATTAATATTTTTGATTAATGAATTCTCTTGAATTTGGTTGGCAAATATTTCGGCAATTTCTTCATTTGATTGGTAGATATTTTGTTTAATGTATATATTATTTGTATTGCTGTGTGTGTTTTTGTTGTTCATTTTGTTTACTACAGACCATATTTGCTTTGATGATGTTTTATTTGTTAATGAATTAACATATGTGTTCCAACTAGTACTTTTTTCGTTTACGGCGCCATTTCTAAACCAAAGATCTCCTGTAATACTTAATGACAGTAACAGAGATTGATAATCTATTTGTACATGTTCTTGAAAATGTACGTTCGGAGTGTTCGTCTGTTCAATGTATTTATTAAAAGAAAACTTGCACAATTGGCATAACAATACTAATGAATCGAAATGCGTCAGCTGTTACAACCAAATTTTATGAGCGTTATAATTCAGCTTCAGGCAACGCTTTATTGAACAATTGTTCCCGTAATTATCGAATCCATTTGCATTAACGAAACCACATGTACAAAGGAATGACCAAAAAATGTTTGAAGAAATTAGATAGCAGCCTCCTCTAAAAAATTTATTTAATTGAACTTGATAATTGTAAAAGCAACTATATGTTGAGTTAAAAAAAAAACAAGAGACACATCAGGTTTTCGAGACGTCTTGACTCTCTAATTGTAACGTTGTTTGCGCGATTTCATTCGGAGGCTCGAATATTTGATTTAGATATATACTCAGGAAAGAGAAAATAGTTTAGCTAAGCTAGCAAGCGTATCATCGCTAGAATGGGTGGCTCTGAGAAGAGCCGTTTGTTTTGTCTTTATGTCAGTGGTCGATTACTTTGAGCTGGTGTACTTGGTGACGGCCTTGGTGCCTTCGCTGACGGCGTGCTTGGCCAACTCGCCGGGCAACAGAAGCCTGACGGCCGTCTGGATTTCTCTGCTAGTGATGGTGGATCTCTTGTTGTAGTGGGCGAGGCGAGAAGCTTCGGCGGCGATTCGCTCAAAGATGTCGTTGACGAATGAATTCATTATCGACATGGCTTTGCCGCTGATGCCCGTGTCCGGGTGAACCTGCTTCAGCACCTTGTATATGTATATAAAGTAGCTTTCCTTTCGCCTTCTTTTGTGCTTCTTGTCCGTGCTGCGAGCAGCTTTCGCCTTGCTGGCGGCCTTCTTAGCACCCTTACTGGCAGGCTTTGGTGGCATTGTTCAAGATAGAATAAGTAAATTATAATCAGATAATATCAGATTAAACACGCAGTCGCAATGGTGGCGTTCAATTCTCGCAGACCAATATATATGAGAGAGCTAGGTGAGTGAATAGATCACGTGATTGCATACTAATGTATTTACGAGCGAGATGGTGTGCCTGTGAGAGAGCGTGCTTGTGTGCGAGAGAGTAGAGAAAGAACAAAGAGAGGTGATAGTTGCGCGCGCCTAATTTCGAATTTTCAAGATCGTATGTTCAAAATTATTATTAGTATTTGTTGAATAAAAATATGTCGATCGAATTAATAGATGTTTGAATAAATGTATTAATCAATAAATAAATAAGAAGGATTAGTAGCATACTATTGCATACACAATATGTATAAAATATAATATATGTAACATAACGTTCTATACACGTTGCAAAAGGTGTGTGTGTGTGTGTGTGTGTGTGTGTGTGTGTGTGTGTGTGTGTGTTTGTTTGTGCAGAACATAGAACTTTTGTACAACGTCTAATTATTATTATAACGACATTATAACGACAGATATTCATTTACAAGATCCCGTTGATTGGTTGTAAATGCGTCGTACCGCGTCACGTGATGTATTAAAATAACTATCCGAGAGTTACTAGCAGGGGTATATAAGCTTAGCCATTTGTCGGGAAATAGATATTTGCAGTTATTGCGGAAATTCATGTTCCTCTAATTTAGTTTATACAACATCACTCGAAAATGTCTGGAAGAGGAAAGGGCGGCAAGGTCAAAGGAAAGGCCAAGAGCAGATCGAGCAGAGCCGGATG